GTAATTGTAGCACTAGTCTTTAATACTATGATATTAGCGCATCATGCGGTAAGTAACAGCTGTCGTTACAAAAATGTTTATGTTGTTGTTATTTCCAATTATTGCTTTGTCTGCCCGACATAAACTTTGCCACAATTGCAAGTTATTTTACAAATACCCTGTTTTTCCAAACTTCGAACTTTATCTGTTCATTTAAAGAATTTAGCATGTAGTTTATTCTTAGCTTTTAATGCTGATTCAGCCCCTTTCAAGTACATTGCGAGTTTTGTTAAAAATCTGGGTATGTTAAATTAAACACGTGTATTTTTACCTTTTATATTTTATCTTTCATTTAAATTATTTGTTTTTAATTTCAAAATTTTGTTTATTGATTTTACATCCCCAAATCAATCAACTGAATAAAAAAATCATTTCTTTGAAAACTCTTTCATCGTCTGAACAAATATTAAGCGTTCTGTACACCATGGCTTCGTAAACACGAATGCGAAAAACCAAAAGCAGAAAACATGATTAAATTTCTAAAAGAAAAAGGAAAAATCAGATAGTACATTTCGATGATGGACCAAGAGTAAATCAATTATGGTAGAGACCACTGACATAATATTGTTTTAATGCTCCTGCTTCAGATGTCGTGGGTGTCCTGTTTTATGTACGAAATGTCTTGGTCCACACTAAATTGATACTTGTTATGGCAACCAACAGGGGCTGGAGAAACATGTCAGACCAAATTGAACGTTTCTAACTCGTATGGTATAACGTTGTCCCTTTTTCACTATTCTATGTCAATAAGAATATTGCGTACGTTCGCTCCTTTATCATATTAAAAAGCCATCGTTGGGAACAGTAATTTTATAGTAAGACATTAAGTGCTCTAAATATATTTAGGGAAGATTATTTTGTTGAATTTATTTTCTTTCATTACCCCAATGGTAAGGACTACTTGGCATTTTTCAGATATGCTTTGTACTGTTTTGGTTTTGTTCAGTTTGTCGATCAATACCCGATGTCGTTGTTAAAACACCGTACTGGTTCTCTACCTCATTAGCCTCTGTACTCTTTAATATTTTTAATATGTTTCCAAGCAATTAAGGATTACTATTTAGTGACTTGCAGGTTTGCACACAAAAAAAAGTGATTAATTTCATAAAGCTTTCCATTATTTAGAATCAGTAGTATGATCCAATTCTACAATAATAAACATTTAAAAATGGTGCTTATATCTATTCCACAGATGGTTCAACAATAGGTTTAAATTCTTATAATGTTAAGATTCAAGGTTAGATTCTCCGCAGTGGACAAAGCATAGATACCCAATTGTGTAGCTTTGCGCTACGAAAACAACTTATTTCTTAACACAATTTTTAGTGTTTACTAAAAGTCAAGCTTAAATACTTAGTCGCCCTCCATGAAAATTGAAGTGTTTTGCCTACACTTTAACATTATTTAATAAGGTGTAAAGATGCATACATTTTCTATCATTATTATTGAGCTTTTTCAACATTGCATTTACCTGATAACAGCTACTGACACACATAAGCCTGCACGTAAACACATGCAGATTTATAAAGGTTATCCTTTATAATGTCAAGGGTACGTCTTATTAGATATAGTGTTGGTTTCTCTGTGTTTAAGCACAAAGCTGCACAATAGGCTATTTGTTCTGTGTCTACCGAAAGGACTGAATCCCGAATTTTAACGTCATAATACCTTAAACGTACTGCTTAGCTACCGAAGATGGGGGTGGAGAGGCGGATGATATTATAAATATCTTATAAGCACTAAATTATTTAGAGGAATACAAAAAATTAAGCTGATTACAAGTTCAATTACTTCCAGCGTCTTTCCTGGTGGTTTGAAAGCAATAATTGCTCGACACTGGGTGCAAATCCCGATAATCCACAATAAACAAAGAACAAATTGGATGGCACGATTTTTTTTTATATATAAAAGTTCTTTTCGCGCAGAACATAAGAGTATGGTATATTATTTTAAAATTACTTAAAATTTTTTTATCCGAAGTGAAATTCGAACCCCTATTGTCAGGAAAAGCTACTACAGAGTCTTAGATCACTACGCTATTTCTTCGCTTCAAATTTTCCACCATCCTCTTGGGCAGTGGTTCCCAAACTTGTGTTTATGGAACACATAATTTTTGTTTACCTCGGCGGACCACAATGGGAACTGTATACTATACTGTAGCTTCTAATTCGTTATTATGTAACGTTTCTCCAAACCATCTGAAGAGAATCCGAGGACCATAAGTCATAAGTTTTAACCTAGTGACTGTGGAAAGTAATTCGCCATTAATATTTAAAACTATATATTTTCATAAATGTATGTGCTAAAGTTGTTAAACCTTAACTGATAAATATCTACCAGTGGAATTTTGGTAGTTCTTTGTTTACCATATATTTGGTCTCTTCAACAGTGAGAAGAATTAGAGAAAATAATAATTTTATTACTTTTTTTTTGGAGGACCCGGCATGGCCAGGTGGTTAGGGCACTCGACTCGCAATCTGAAGGTCGCGGATTTGAATCCCCGTCCCACCAAACATGCTCGCCCTTTCAGCCGTGGGGGCGTTATAATGTGACGATCAATCTCACTCTTCCTTGGTAAAAGAGTAGCCCAAGAGTTGGTGGTGAATGATGATGACTAGCTGCCTTCTCTCCAGTCTTTCACTGCTAAATTAAGGACGGTTAGCGTAAGTAGCCTTCGTGTTGCTGTGCGCGAAATTCTAACTTTTTTGGATGCTTATTTATCTTCATCTAAAACAGATATGAAGCTGTTATTTGTAATGGGATATAAAAGTGTCTAGGTCACTTTAGAAGCATAAGAATAATGACATTTGAAAAAGCTGTGGCAATACCCCAGATTTGACAAAAGGTTTTGTCCTGTAAATAGATTCACGACAGTGTTACTCCATCTTTCTAGCCTGGTTGGAGTCACTATCGTGCCTGTACTATCAATGCTTGCAGTGTTAATAAAATGTATAAGTACTGCTCATGAATTTTTTGCACTATTACAGTGATATTTTAAGCTGAATACACTTATGAAGAAACTACTTTTTATATTGCAACAATATGATTAATATAACTTCCATTGCTATTTTTAAAGAACGATCTAAAAAACACGCGAAATATTTGTGTTAAATTAATGTATTAATACACAATTGGCTATCTGTGCTCTGCCCACCACGGGTATCGAAACCAGGATTCTAGCGTTGTAAGTCCGCAGACATACCGCTGTGCCACTGGTGGGGGGGGGGCTTTCAGGAAGAGAAAGCAGACGTGGTACATCTCACTAAGTGTTACTAAACTTTACTGGTAACGTATATGCATCATTAACTTCTGTTCACTTCTGTAGTAACTCTTAACTCGCATTTCGTAGAAAAAGTGAGAAGAGAACAAACAGTTCACGAGTTTCTGAAATGAGAAAGTAAGTGAGATAAAATACGTTTTTTGTACAAGGGAAATTGACAGTGATGGGTAGGTCTGTAGAAGCGTGATTTGTTTTTAACAGATACAAATATTGACTTTCTCAGTCTACTTGACAAAGTTACAGCTAGAGTTCGACTGTTTTAAAGTGAGTGTGTTATAACTGCTGATTTATCGGGAGGAGAGAGGGGGGGGGGAATAAGAGTGCAATTAACTTACAAGCAGTCACTTATAGATTATTGGAGTAAAATAGTTTAAAACTGTCTTAGAGAAACATAAGTATCAGTGGTCTATGTAATTACCAAGTAAAGTATACAGTAAATTATGTAGTAATTTTAGGATCATGTAACAAATTGCTAAAGTGAGACGTAAATGATACATACCAAAATGCTCGACTTCTTCAGTAACTGAGTGTAGATTATTGGCCTTGACAATGTGAAAAGTTAGACGCTCAGCTGTTGGAAGATAACTGAGTCCAAATAATATTTCTCCAATGTCCTAATTGTGAAAGAGATACAAACACGGTTGTTATGCTATTTTATTTCACTAATAAATCAGAAGAGCTTCAAAGGTGAGTTTTTGATGCAATCATAAAGTTCTTGACTCGTAAAATGTATTTTTTTCTTTTGGTAGTAATTGAGTTAATGTCTTTCGTAACGATAAATTGAATCAAAACAATCTCAAGAAAACTGGGTTCCATAACAGTCAGTCTTTAGAACATTAATGGAAAACAGAAACATATGTGATAATTCATAGTGATAATTGTGGGTTAAGACCCACTCAGGGACCAACATTTTTATTGTTTGATGGAGCATCTAGAATTATGAAAACCAATTTGACTGATTTTTGGATTTTTTTTTTTCCTGGACTAGATTTTTTTCTCAAATAACGCATTTGAAGAAAATTACACAACGAAGTGACAAATTAACACCTAGTACAATCAAATTCAAAGTGGAAAGACATGTGTCAGAAAAACTATAGACTGTATAATATTTAAATAACGCAATTATGGTATCTGTCAAAATAAAATAGATAACGTCCCCCTGTCAAAAAAAAAGTAAAATCTCACGAGTAATATACTTCATAAAACACATTTTAATTAACGACTCTTTACTCAAATAAAAACATTTCTTGTTATGGTATGTACGCCCTTTACAAGCCGGCGAAGAATAATTACAATTATATTTGTCAAAAGACATTAGAATTAGACCCATTACATTTTCAAACACTGCATTCTTAATCTTTGGGATTTTGAAGAATTAGAAGCGTGAATAATAATTGTATTCCAACCACACTATATTTTTCAAACTCATCGCTGACGAGGCGTTTCACTCAATCCAATCTTTAAAATCAAAAAGGTTTGTTTGTTTGTAATTAAGCACAAAGCTACACAATAGGCTATCTGTGCTCTGCCAACCACGGGTATCGAAACCCGGATTCTAGCGTTGTAAGTCCGCAGACATACCGCTGTGCCACTGGAGGGCAATCAAAAAGGAACTAGATTAAGAAAGTAGTGTTTAAAAATGTAATAGGTCTAATACTAATGTTTTATAACAAATATAATTGTAATTATAACGCTTCTTTTCCAATAGACTACTACTATCTGGGTCGTACTAAAAGTTAAAATTACGTGAGACCCTGATTGGTGAGTTAAGTGACATGTTTGAACAGCTGCATTGGCTTTATAAATTCTCTACTGTACAAGGTTTTTCGCGATAGATTACGAGTTCTGAGCTTTTCTACAAACAATGAGAAAAATCAAGCAGGATTATCCTTACTTGTTTCGTTTCTTTAAGGTCGAAGGTGTGTAGAGTCTCTTCACCGTTCTCTGTGATGTTTAGTTCTTTCAATGGAATGAGAACCTCACCCAAATTAGTGTCGTTAGCAAATCGCTCTTCGTCAAACACACATAACTTCAAGGCGTACTCTTTTATTTCCGTCCACGTTAGATTTGCTACGAACGTTTCGCAGAAAAGTGGATGTTGGGTCTTTTTACATGTCTTCGTCTGGAATTCGTATCGTGGGGGTTGCTGGCGTTTCGACCGACGTTTTCGACCTTTTTCTTTTAACACTTTTATCAGGACATAAGGATCGCAACTCCCACCGTAAGGCCGAGACAGAAGTTGCTGGACTTCCTATTATCAAAGAATGAAATCATTTCTGTAAGAGGAATGGTTCAATATTTATCTTATCCTCAAATGCTTATAAAAATAAATTCTTATTTAATCGATACGCTTATGCATATAGTATAACAGTTACACTGGTCCTGTAATTACCTTAAGCCAAATATTATTTTTTTCAAAATTCTCAAAGAGCATACAAAATGTTATGCGTTAATTATAATAAATACCTCGTTAAATAAAAACTTAGATTTCTTTTTAGTATTTGGTTATTCATAAGGAAAAACAAGAGGTAAAGTGTTTTGTCTACGGATTTACAACGTTAAACTCAGGGGTTCGATTCCTGTCGGTGGACACAGCAGATAGTCCATTATGTAGCTTTGTTTTGTTTGTTTGTTTGGAATTAAGCACAAAGCTACACAATGGGCTATCTGTGCTCTGCCCACCACGGGTATCGAAATCCGTATTCTAGCGTTGTAAGTCCGCAGACATACCGCTGTGCCACTGGGGGGGGGGGTAATTGTAAAGGGAATCATCCATAATTTTTTAGTTACAACAACAACAAAGTGTAATAAAGAAACAAAATGGTTAACAATGACTCAAGACTAAGAAAAAAAAACACTTGTACGGTACTTTGTATGTTGCTGTATAGTTTGAGTTGCATATATATCGTTTTATGACTCTGCACTAAAGCCACGCAGAATAATTGTATAAAATGAATGTGAACAAGGAAAAGAGTTTATGTTATTGAATGGACATATAGTGAGGTATATTATTATTATATCAAGAGGTAGCATGCACGACATACGAAAATTGTATTGTCAATATCTGTACCCAGACAAGGAAAAGATTGATGAACTTCTTATATCTTCTATGCAGACTTCCCTTAGGAAAGGAGGATTGTGTGATAAAGATAGACGGCCACGTTCTATCTTAACGAGGAAACATCAAGAAACCCTTATATTGACTAAACGGGATTTGTGTTTTGAGGCTTCAGAGGTAAAACAGAAAAGCTAAAAAAGAACAAGAAAGAAGTCTACCTTATAAGATCAGATGTTCTACCCAATAGGAATAGTGGTGACGGTTAAAGGAATTAAGACCAACCATTTATTTCTCAAGAGAAAAAAAAATACAACTCATTTTAATCTTCGTTTGAATGGAGAACGTTTTCTCTTTACTGTTTTATCCTGTCTTTGAGAACAAAACAGTCGAATGGGAAAATTTCCTGCAGTTCAGTGATGTCTTAAACCAACATTTGGTACCAACATCTTCATTTCAAAAATTCATTATAATTCGATAGAGTATTAGAGTATCAAGAAACATATATACTGTATTTAACGTATATTTTGTTATACACTATAAACAACAACAACAACTTAAAGACACAATGCCCTGGGCAATTAAAATAGATGATAAACGTAGAATATGTATTGATTCACTTAGACCTAACAATTTCTTAACGTTTTATTTTGTTGTCGTTCTTCATTTGAACTACGACTTAAATAACATATTGGATGCAGAAAGTGATGAAATATTTCAGTACTACTCAGCGTCGAAAACCAGAAGTCTATAAAAAGTTATAGATAAGGGGAAAATCATACTATTTTGTGGTGTTTTTTTTTCGCAGTTTGCCTGAAGTATACATCACGTTTCTACGAGGAGCATGAACACCTGAACCCAAGTACTTTTATTATATTCATATAAATGTACAAAACACTTGAGAAAATTAATAACATTACTAGTACACAGCCATCTGATGTCAAAAATAATATATTAATAAGTTACTATCAGAAATATACTTGTTGTTTCTTTACATTATATCAAGATGGGGATATATATTTATAATATATTTATTTTATGAAAGTGTGTTCCATTTTTAGCCAGGAGGAAACGTTCTACGTGTATACTTTTTTTTGTAAAAAAAAGAGGATGTAATTAAATTAAAATTTATTTTGTACATAACCTTCAAAATTTTAAGTCATATGAGGATTTTGTTATCAGTAAATATGCTATAATAAAATATGATAATGCCATTCTGGAATGATAAATAAATTTAATATATTTTTTGACAGTAAATATTGTAAATCAAAGTAATCCTTGTAAAACAAATACTGTGTTATGTGAATATCTGAAAAACAAAAACGGATTTATTAATATATTTTTTAAAATTCATAACTAACAGTTAAATATTTCGGATATCTCAAACTCTGGAATTATTGTCAGTCAAAAACAAACCATGCATTACATCAGAAAATATGTTCATACATTCATTGCAATCCAACATATGTAAGGTACTTTGTTAGGATTAAAGCTCGCAACCGCCAGGATATCTTTTAATTTGTTCGGAGATATATTTTACATATAATGTTTTATCGGTATATTTTGTGTATTCTGAATGTTGTGTGTTACTGTGTTGTTATTTATGTTTGATGTATAGATGTCATAGTGAGGTTACCATGACGATGTGTGGGTCAATGTAAGTCAGATGTATGTTCATCTGGAGTCTTGTGATACTAACTTGGGTAATACTAATAACACAAGGTATTTAAGAAATAGAGCTGTTTCTAATATTTCGTTCTCAGTTTCTCTGTTTATTGCTAAAAGGGCAGCGATTTATGACTCAATCTAGGCTCAAACTTAAGGGATATCAAGAAAACTGTATTTGCATGTTTTTGCTTGTTTTACATTAATTCAATCTAGAGTCGGAAATTAGACATATTACACATGAAGCATGCGCAGATGTACCCGTGCGATGCACGGTGAGAGGTTTATGCAAATAGTTTTTTTTTCTCTTCCGAAATATGACAGTGACAATATAAAGATTGAAAGCATGTAAGAATAAAATTACTCATGTCCAGTGGGCTTCATTATTTAAGTACATTTCATTTTCAAAAAGCAATAAGTAACATGCGACTTAAAAATATCTCACTTAATATAAATGTGTTTATCTTGAAAGTATGTATAAACAACGTGTGAAAAAGAAATCCCTCAAATGAATGATGGGATTTGAAAACGAAATTCAATTGTAGAATTAATGTTTACCAGTTACGAATATAAACAGCGTTTCTGTTTTTGTCCTAATTATACCAGTAATGATTTAAAGTATGTAGACTGTATGGATACTCCATGTAATGAAAAAAGGAAACTGGAGAAATCCCATCAGAATCCCTAGTGGCCACACTCACTAACTGACTTATGCACTACCGGCACCTGTGTTTAATTTTTTTAAAAATTATATTAGATAATTAAAAACAACTTTTTATATTTACAGAATAAAAACTTTATTGAAGCCGTACGGCTTCCACTTTAAAATATCGCTCTACACGTACATGTTTCGACGTGATCTACGTCATCCTCAGGAGTAACTTACTATAGACTATTTTATAGTTTTCCCCTTGTCGCATTACTTCATTGTTATTTACATATTTTCTTAGTGTAATTGAAAAAATAAACATTACGTAGATCACGTCGAAACATGTACGTGTAGAGCGATATTTTAAAGTGGAAGCCATACGGCTTCAATAAAGTTTTTATTGTGTAAATATAAAACGTTGTTTTTAATTATTTATTATAATAAAAAAAACCAAAAAAAAACCTTATCTATATTTAGCCAGCACTGTAATTATGAAATTTATGCATTTTAAAAGAAAAATAACTTCTTGACACATTCTGAATCATTCGTGGTTGATAATACCATATTTGACAGGTTTGAATGTAAAAGCCCTGGAGGAGTGAGAGGACAAACAAACACACAGACAAATAAACTTCTCTAAAATTATAGTAACATACCCTAGAAAGGTGCACTTTTGTCTGTCTGTACGTTGTTCCGAACTCTAACAATAACAGACTAAATAATAAAATTCTTCATTCGTATTGATTAGCATCTGAAGACGTGTCTATTAGGTAATAAAACTTCCTCTAAAGCACACTGTTTTCTGGTTTTCCTTGAAAAACTAAATGCCCATATGCAATATTAAGTCATTGGAAAGTACGATTCAGTGAGCTGAATAATACCAATAGTACGTCTACTTAATTAAAAACATATACATTTAAATACTCTGGCTACGTTCAGTCATTTTACTTATACTACGCTTATTCATTAAATAAAACAATAAGCTGTAAACATGATTATGTTAGTTCAAATGCCTCGGAATTTTTCCCCTCTTTTTATTAGTGTGTCTAGTGTGTCGGGCTGCAGATCGAAATCCCTAGAACTCGACACCTGATGTCGCTGAACATGCTCAGCATTTTCAGCTGTGGGCGCGTTATAAGTGTGAGAGTTACGCTGTTATTTCATAAAAAAAGAGCCGGATGAAACCCTTGTAGTGATGCGGTCATTGTTTAGTTTCTTTCCCTCTTATCAGTAGTTAGAAATTAGGGACGGATATACCTGAATTCTAAATATCTCTATCCTGGTCGTTTAGCCCATGTATACAAAAGGTGCTCTTAAGGTGTAAAATGCTAATTCTATTACATTGAAATATAGATTATATCAATAAGAGAAATTAGTCCTAAAAGTGTGCACCTACAAATAGCGATTAAACTTGAATCTGTTTTGAATGACGTCTAACAACCTTGTTGACATGCCTACACTGGAAGATCAAGAGCGACCTTTGCTTTCATGTCGATAGATTTTCCGTGCATTTAATTATACATCAGGCTGATTGTGTTCTTAAGAATAAATGTTTTCTCTGTTTAATTAAATATTTTGACTTTGCCTGTTCCAGTTTAATTTCTGATCCTTTCCTCCTGGAGAAACTGATATATATATACATACCCACAAATAAAGTACTGCTATCTCGTAGTATATAAAGGATGTCCCAAAAGTCTGGAACTATAGGTGATTTGGAGCTTTTCTTAATTTCAGGCACGTGACTGATTATGGCTCTGTAAAATCCGTTGAAGTGCCAATGGTTCCAGACCTTTTCGGACACCTTCTATAACGTATAACGCTAACGTTTAGCGATACTCTGAAGTACAAAATGAAATTTATAACATTTAACAAGTAGATGTGC